GCTCAGGTTTCACTGAATACTGATATTGTATGAAAATTAATAAGCATACGGTCTTTTCCTCATTCGTATTATGAAAATACAGCTCTAGAGCCAGGTTAAGTCATTATAGAATTCCATTTGACGCTACACTCTGTTTTGACAATGATTCATTGATGATAATTCTCTGATTAGGAGTTTGGAGTCATTTTGCCTCCACCTGAGGCCAAAGAAGGGACAAACATTTTTCATGAGAACAGTAACAGATTAATAATTTTTTTGTTTTGTAGCAACTTCCTATCAAGTAATAACTCGCAGAAGTTGAAGCAAGGGGATGAAACAATAGTTATGTGAAATTAAGAAAATAAACATTAAGTTAAACTAAAGTATTGTCCCAGTATCAACCATTAATAGGCGACATGAAAGAAAGGGCATTCTCTACATTGTATTTTCTGGTTTGCAAGGGGTTTTCTGTGTAACTGGTTGCTATGTTGGAACAGTTTCTTCAAGTTGTTTAGTGTTATGCAGCTAGATTTATTTTCTAATACCCATTTATATAAGAATGCAAAGATATTAAGTTTAAAGTTCATTTCAAAATGACTGGAAAATTAAGACAGCCTTGATAGTTGACATTGAGAGACTTAATCATGGTGTTAGACCACCAAGGCGCTTTTTATTTTTGCTATTTCCCCCCCCAAGTTAACATGGTGTGTTTCATTTGGTTTTGTTTTTTTTTTTTTTTTTTTGGCTTGTGGGGTTTTTTATTGTGGTTTTTTTGTTTGTTTGTTTTTGTTTTTTAAGTTAGCGTTTTCTTTCCCAAAATTCAAAACTTTGATCAGGCAGACCAGACTTCTAGGTAACAAACTAGTTGCTTTTTCTATATAAAATTACTCTGAAAAGTAAATTGGCATTATGCAGTGTCAAGCATTCAAAGTTTGAAAGTTTCCTTGCAATCTGAATTTCATTTTATTACGCATTATAGTAAGCTATGAAACTACATGATTATATACTATTTTCCCTCAGGAGCACTGCCTTGCTCAGTGCATGGACTGGATGGAGCTCACCTAATAAGCAATCATTCAGAACACTTTTGGTTCTGCGTGACCTTCAGCCTCATTTACTACACATTATTCAAACTCTACTTTGAATATTGAATTATTGAATTCCTTGTGGGCTTTTTATGGCTTTCATTGCTATAATATCAGAGCACTTTGCAAATACCTTTTTTTTTCCTTAGGAAATGAAAGGCATGGTATTTCTGTTTCACAGGGGAAAGAGAAGGAAGCTGGAGCACAGAAATTAAGGTCAAGGGTTTCCACTATCTTGGTTCTCAAATTGAGATAACTGGAACCAATTTTTATTTTTTTTTTTTTTAAGTATTTAGCATTATACTGAACTTGATATTTTCAAAGAACAGCTTTGAGTATGCTTAGTCCCTCCTCATTATCAGCCCTCAAACTCTGAAAGCCACCTGTGGAAGGAAGGGATACAGCTGTGACAAATCTGTAAAGTGTAAGGTGTTTGTAACCCTGAGTGGATTAGTTATGGCTGGGAACGAGCTGCTCTGCGAGTGGGTTTCACAGATGCTGTGAGAGAACTTCAGGTTCTGAAGGAGGGTGAGCTATGGGAGCACAGGCTTGTTTCCCACATTTCTTTTTCCTTTTCAATCCTGTCTCTGCAGCACTCTTCAGAGTTTAGATTTTCGAAAAGTTCTCCTTGCCTTGAAGTCTCATTTTCCAGGTTTCCTTTTTTTGTCAAATATCTTTGCATTTCTGCCCCTCTTCATGCCACACTGTTCTTGCACTTAGCTGCTGTTGCGTTGTCCCTGATTCTTCTCAGGGGATTAGTTCTCGTCTTCTTGCTCAGCTTTAGTTTTAGACTTCTGTTCCCTTCCCTGAATATGTTGTCCCACGTCCTTACCAACCACCTGGCTTTTAGTTCCAGCCCACCTATAATGTGTTACTATGTTTCCTGAATCTGAAAGTGCATCAGTCTGGTCTCTGGTGTCCTGATCTGCAGCCCATCAACAGGCTCTACTGGTCTAGCCTCACTGCTTGCTTCTGCCATGGAAAGTGAATCTGTACTTAGACATTTCACATGGTTGGACTTAAGCAATAGAAACATCACGTTCATGTATTGTGTCGCAGCAGTTCTTACAGCCATGTGAGGATAAGCAGTGACTGCAGGCAGGACTAGGTCTGCTTTTGTTGAGCAGGAGGATAATGTCAACATGGAGCATTTGGGGAGTGGGAAGCAAAGTGGGAGAAAGATTGATCAATCCTCAGGGCTCTGGAGGGCCTCTCCTAGAGTATGAGGACTTCTTTACCCATGAATACATTATGGTCTGTGATGAGAAGGATTCAGCTGTGTGGGCTAGTAGTAATCGACCTACATACATGCCTTTCTATATGGTGTATTGGTGCATACTGTTACTAACGTAAGTGATTACAGTTGCTGTTTTTTCAATGCTCTTCCATCTGCTTCACAGTGTGATAACTGCGGAATTGAACCTATCCAGGGTGTTCGGTGGCACTGCCAAGACTGCCCTCAAGAAATGTCCTTGGATTTCTGTGATTCTTGTTCTGACTGGTGAGCAGCATACGCTTCTACTTGTTATTTGTGATTAGCTTGACTATCCCTATGTGGCTTAATTGCTGTGTATGTTGGAAAACTTCACTCCAGCATAGGACACATCTCCTGTGTTGGGTGAAGTGGAAGATACTTTAGGATATATTTGTGGGAGATATATTTTGTGTGTTCTGGATGTATAATTTTTTTTTTCTTAATACAGTGGACAGATAGGTTTGGTACTGTTAAATAGTGGGGGAAATTATACTTTATGAATTAATTGTATCAAATTTGGTATGAATCTGTTAATATGATCACTGTTTCTGAAAGTTAAAGATAAGGAAAATATTTGACTTTTAATCTCTTATCTTTTTCTTTCCCTTGCAGTCTGCATGAAACAGAGATTCATAAGGAAGATCATCAGTTAGAACCTATTTACAGAGCAGAGACATTTTTAGACAGAGACTACTGCATGTCCCAGGGCACCAGTTACAATTATCTTGACCCAAACTACTTTCCAGCAAATAGATGACATGGGAAGCAGATCTACCATCTTGGGCTTACTATCCTCTTTGAAAAATAACAATGGCACCATTGTTAATTCTGTGCACATTTTGGAAAGACTCTGCTTTCCCTGAAATGTCGCTCACAGCATGACAGCTTCCTGGGTGTACTTGTCAAACTACAGCTTTGAGCTGTCATGGTTCTAGATCACTGAACAGCAGCTGAACATTCCTAGTGTGCAGAAGGTTTCACTGGGAGACTTTTCTTTCACCACATTAGTCATTTTTAGGTGGTGAATCTAAACACAAAAGAAAAACATACAAAAGGGTGAGCCAGAAATGAGAGCACACATTAAAGAGAGAGTAAATTCCAAAGGCTTTGAAGAACTTGGTTATAATGAGATCCAGAGGAGATGAAGTATTTATATAAAAAGTTTAGTAGCTTGCAGTTTTGTTGTGAAATAGTTTTCAGCACAGTAACTGACTTCTTTAGGCAAGGTTTTAACCAATGACAGTGTTTGCTTCTAGGATGTACTCTAAAAAATACTCACTGTCTCAGCGATGGTTGGTTACAGGCCTTTATTAAATCGGAGCTGCTTAATCACATTGACTTTCAATTTTTTTAATTTTTTTTCTTTTTTTTTGTTTTTGTTTTTTTAAAACCACGATGAACTCTATTTACCAACAGTGAAGCACTACAGGGGGCAACTGTGGCATTGCTTCCTTAACCAGCTCATGGTGTGTGAATGTTATAAAATTGTCACTCAGATATATTTTTTAAATGTAATGTTATATAAGATGATCATGTGATGTGTACAAAATATGGTGAAAAGTGCCAGTGGTAGTAACTGTGTAAAGTCTCTAATACTCAACATTAACTCCTTCAAAATAAAATACACAGCCTTCTGCCTCTGTATTTGGAGTTGTTAGTGCAACTCATCAAAGAAAACTGCCTAATATAAATCATATATATGGTAATAATTTTTCCTCTTTTGTAGTCTGCACAAGATCCATGAAAGATTGTATTTTTATTACTATTTAAACAGTGATTAAATTTAGCCTGAGCAGTGAGCAAGGGTTCACATGCATTCTTTTATACTGCTGGATTTTGTTGTGCATCATTTAAAACATTTTGTATGTTTCTTCTTATCTGTGTATACAGTATGTTCTTAAATAATGTTCAATTGTCAGGAGAACTGTGAGAAATAAACTATGTGGATACAGTCTGTTTATATATAGAATGCTTACTGTGACTTCCTTTCTGTGTAGTTCTGACTTTTTAATCAAGATGGAAAACATTAAAAGGACATTTTAATACGTCATACAAATACTCACTATGCAGACCTGCAAGATGCCCAGCGCCTTCCTCTGCTGTTAATTTCAGTGGGAACTGATGGTGCTCTGCGCCTACTAAAATATGCTTTGCCTTTTGCAGGATTAGCATTCTAGATTTCTCATATTTTACTTACAAACTGTTCTTTTTCAGATTGCAGAAAATTCAGATTTTAGTAGCCTTGGTACACTATATACCATTGTCTGAGAAGCTTTGTAATTATTGTGACATATTTTAGTTAATATATTTTCTATTGAAATGTATAGCTTGTGATTCAGAAACACTTGATTATTTTATAACTGTAATAGACTTCCAGTTGCTTTGAAACTTGAATACTCAGAGTCATTAGCTAGAAAAGAACTAATTTGACTTTAAAAGATGGCAATAAGAAGGATAATTGGCTGGCTGCACCTAATAACTTTAATTATAAACCGATCAGTATTAAGTTTTGCAATAAATTCAGGTGTAGTTATTTTTTGCTTCAGAAAAAAAGAATTTTAAGCATTTAATCTACTTAGAAGGTAATACAGTACAGTTACTAAAACACTGAGCAAGTATCATTATGTAAACATATCTCAAGTATCTAGTATACTTAGATAAATTTAATAAACCTCAAAAAAATACAACACAAATTCACATGATGTATTTCAGTTTTTAATTGGAAAAGATACTGCTCTGAGAGGCTCTCTAATACAATAATGAATGTGCTTTCCACGTCATTCACACTGTTTATAGGAAGCTAGAGTTGGTGAAGGTGTATTATCAGGGAAAGAATCTGTGGTAATCTTTGCTTCCTGTTGATATCCTGAAAAAACTACTGGAAGAAAATAACAGAAGTACACTCGTGAAAATACGATTAAGTGCAAATATTCAGTCATCAGTTTAGGATAGCTTGGGAAGAACAAAAAGCCATGGTGTAATTTGAATGAGATTTGAAGCAGAAGGAGAATTTCAAGTCTGAATCACCCAAGAAAGAAGTGTCTTGGATAAGTCCTCTTTTTATTGAATATGTATAAATATTTATATTTCCATATGCATGCATATACAGCTATTTCTCTTGCATACATTATAAACATATGCAAATAGATCTCTAATGCACATACACCCAGCCAAGCATGGGAATTTTTTTTTTGTTCCACAGAAAAGACCAGAAGAAGCAGAAAGAAAAATTCAGCTGAAACTGTATGTTAAATAATTTTTGTAACCCGATTTAAAAAAAAAAAAAATAGCAGCTGATTGTTGCCTCTGTTCCCATCCTGCACAAGTATGATACTCCACACTTTTTAACTTATATTGTAATTAGAAGTAATAAAAAATACTCCAGACAACCTATCCAGATGAATTTGCAACTTCATGGTAACTCCAGAATGTTTTACTTTTTCTTCTGGAAAAATACTACACCAGACAGCTGCCAGTGCTTCAAGGCTGGCTTTAGAAAAACCGGCCTTCTCACGCTGATGCATTATGGGAGTCGCTCGCTTAAAGCTGTTGTACTGCAGACGTTACTGGTTACTTAATGGCACTGGTCTGGAGCTGGAGAAGCACCTCCTAGAGCATCAGAGGTAAAATGTAGGCTATAAAAGGACCCAGGAAAGACGGAACATCCAGGATATGAAGGATAAGAACATATCTAAAACAGTCCCTTAAAAAAATAATTGAATTAGCATTCACAGGGCAAATGCCAAGGAAGAAAAAGAAAACAGAAGACTCTGCCCTGAATGGAGAAAAAACGTACTCTGTAAGCATGCTGATTTGAGCTATATTTTCAAGTCATGTACTGTGCTTTAAAAAGGATTAAACCCACATATACTGTAACAGAAATCATTACTCCTCATTTTTGTACGTTTTATTTGTATTATGCCTTCATTACAAGAAAGGTAACTTTAAAAATACAAATCTGCCGCATAAAGTACAACTTTGACAGTAAGAGCAATCATGCAACCCACTTCAACTGTGAATTCATCCAGTAGTTCCCGTAAGAGGATGCAATTACTTTACAGGAATGTCAAACAAGCTTTTATTTAGCTATCAATACCAAAGAAACTCCACAATATTTTGGTTAACCTAATGGAAATACGATATGATTTTTACAGACTTTTTTGCAGCTACTACAGATAAATGGCTTACTAAAGATGCAAGCAATATGAATGAAATAACCCCTGACGTTTTCCTTCCCCCTCCTCACCCCAGGATGATCTGAATTTTGCATTTGAAATGCTGCCAAAGTATGATTTAAAGGCATCTTCATATATTCTAGCTCATAGTCAACTTTATATGTAGACTTTAATTAATATAGTAAACCTGCTGTTAATATGGATAATTACTGGATTGCACATTTACTTATACAATCAATATTTTCACCTCAGCTCACAAAACTGGGAAGTCGTCACTTAAAATATCCTACAATTCGCAGCAGAAGACAAGGCTGTCTCAAAAACGGTGTCTGCTCCACGGTAATGGACTGACAGACTTCCACAATATTCAACTGTATCTTCACCTTCAATTAATTTTTCTGCTTCTTCTTGTAATAGTGTTCTGGGGACGTGTGAAAATTTTATTTTAGCTTCTAGCGTGACTAATTCCAGCTGTCTTACAGCTGCACGTAACAGAACAGATTTTAGTCACTAAAACGCAAGAACAAGCTAAGTGATACCACAAGAATTAATACTGTTAATTAAAAGAAAATAATAACCAATGGGAAACTTGTGTGCAGTAATCTTAAAGTTAATATGCTAAATGGTGACTGATGTGGTTGAAGAGCTCACTGCTGGCCAGGCGCTGTTTGACTTCCAATCAAATGTGTGCGATCATGAAATACAAACCAGAGCTGCTGTTCACCATGCTGCTTTTAACCCGTGAAGAGCAAACAACCAATAAAACAATATATAGTTCTTAGTGTAGAGTTAGCATACAGACCACTTTCTATTGAGTGTATTGTCAGAACAGAGAAAAAAGACTTCATCTAAAGTGACATACCACATGCACAGATTGCAGATACCTCTCAAGAAAGCGGTATTGCTTTGAACAGCGTTTTAACCATGACTGTCTAGTGCACGTGAGGTGAGGCCGTGTACACGCCATTACTGCGTTTCTGTTGAAGAAGAAAATGCTTCCTCTTCCTTTTTCAGAAAAGAGTCAATTGTCTTGCAGACTTCCAGAAAAACATCCTCCTGTGTTCCTTCTGCATCAACCTGTGAAGCAGGCAAAAAACATTAGTTTTGATTAAATTACAAAGAATTATCTCAGAATCTAAACACTGGCACAAAAAACTGGTCCAATACAAAATCAAAGTTGTTCTGTTTCGTGTTATAAGCATACTAATGTAGAGGAACAGCTTTCATAAACCAAATTATTCACTGTGTTTCCACAGATTTATGTGCGAAGATTCTGTAGGCTCCATCCTCTGGAGCAAAGTACATTAATCAAATGTCCTGGGATGTATCAAAAATGTATCAAATGAAACGGGAGCTTAAGCTCTTTCTCCAAAGTACTCATGTTTTAAAGTAAAATTACACCTTTGATATACAGAACAGTTTCCAAAGATTTTTAGAAACTATTTTAATATTTAATACCCTCCAAAAGAAACCTAATAGAATAACTTCGATATCATCCTATTAATGCAACTTGTTAATTTGTTTCTTGCCATCTAAAGTGTCAGAGTACGTAACGCTGTGACTGACCTAAAAGCTTTCAAGCGGCAGTAACTTAGCGAGGTTGTGTGTTTCTGTGCATTTGTATTTGCAAGCTTGGTGAATTGGCTCTGCTTTTATGACAACCTTTGGGCAACGCATGTTTTACAGTGGCACTGGTTTTGTTGTACGAGAACTCACTTTCATCGAAGAAATTTTTTTCTTTAACACCCCGAAGATTCTGTTTTGGCCAGAGGTTGTCCAGGCTGTTCAGGTTTTGTTTTTGTTGAAGTCCAGTCATGAAAAAAAAAGACCAATTTATTCTCCTATGCTGAGGAAGAGAGCGCTGCATTTTAGCAAAGAGGAATGATGTTTGTAGCCAGTAATACTTCTGTGTGTTCCCTAGAAAACGTAATGTAGCACCGAGCTTTTCTGAGCGATGAGTTTCACGTCCATCCCATGCAGTGGGCGTCATGCAGGCCATCACTTGAGGAAGGAGAGCTGTCTTTTGCCTTAACAGTAGTGACGAAGAAGCTTTCATGCTGGCTGTGTACACCGTGCAGATTGCATCTGATGATTATTCAGTTCCTCTCAAATGCCTGGTGAGAGCCTCGATTCTCTACTCAAAAGCAAGCTTCCTCTCTGCTTCTCCATGCTTAAGTCTTTCATGCATGCATGCCATGGAGTTTGCGCACATTTAACTGGACCCATGACAACTTTGCTAAAGCCTTGTTTTTCTGAACTACGTGTTACATTTTCACCTCCAAGTTGCTGACTAGCATGCCAGACAATTGTAACGTTTGAAGGGGACATTCCTGACCATCCTACTTTCTGCCACCTCTTTGTTCTGCAGGAGAATAAAAGGAATTTCAAACTCCAAAAAATGTATTTTTGAAATAGGCCATGAAATTCTTCGCAGATACGGTGTCGGCTTGCAGCCAGCTCCTGTACAGTCTGACTGCACTCAATGTACATTTAAGTCCCTCAGTGCTAAATCTTGTGTGGGAGTCAGCAGCTGCTCCCTGCAGAGATCCAGCAAGGGATTGCATTCACGCTCCGTAGCTTGGTTTCGCTCTTGGTGGCATCTACAGATGCTGCAAAGTTTGGTCCCTTGTTGCATCCTGTCGGAAGTGCTGGCACTCCCAGCCAGTCTACCTCCACACGCAGCAGTTCCAGCACTGGAAATGACCAGCCTGGCCAACCTTTAAGGAGCCATGCCTGACTGGGTTCAGTCCCCTTGGATGCACCGCAAGGGTATCTTA